CACTCTTCTCCCCATGCTCCCAATTTGCTCAGGGGTTCTTGTCCCCCTCCTCTTCTTCAGGAGACCATGAGTTTTTCCCTTGTGGTTGTCCTTGTTTCCTAGTTCTTCTGGCAGTGTGGATTGTAGGCTGGTAATCCTTTGCTCTATGACTAAAAACTATATATGTGTGAGTACATACTATGTTTGTCTTTTTGTGACTGGGTTACCTCGCTCAGGATGGTTTCTTCTAGTTCCATCCATTTGTCTGAGACTTTCAAGATTTCATTTTTTTCTGCTGAGTAGTACTCCATTGTGTAAATGTACCACATTTTCTCCATCCACTCTTCAGTTGAAGGACATCTAGGTTGCTTCCAGGTTCTGGCTATTACAAACAACACAGCTATGAACGTAGCTGAACATATGTCCTTGTTATATGAATGTGCATTCTTTCGGTATATGCCCAGGAGAGGGATTGCTGGATCTTGAGGTAGACTCATTGCCATTTTACTGAGAAACTGCTATACTGATTTCCAAAGTGGTCGTATAAGTTTCCACTCCTACCAGCAGTGGAGGAGTATTCCTCTTTCTCCACCTCCTCTCCAGACTGTCGTTCGTGTTTCTGACTGGTGTAAGATGGTATCTCAGAGTTGTTTTGATTTGCATTTCCCTGATGGCTAAGGATGTTGAGCACTTTCTTAAGTGTCTCTCAGTCATTTTAGATTCTTCTATTGAGAATTCTCTATTTAGATCTGCACTCCACTTTTTAATTGGATTGTTTGATGTTTTGGTGGCTAGCTTCTTGAGTTCTTTGTATATTTGGAAATCAGCCCTTTGTCTGATGTCAGATTGGTGAATATCTTTTCCCATTCTGTAGACTGCCATTTTGTCTTGTTGCCTGTGTCCTTTGCCTTACAAAAGCTTTTCAGTTTCAGGAGGTCCCATTTATTAATTGTCGATCTCAATGTCTGTGCTACTGGTGTTATATTTAGGAAGCATTTTCCTGTACCAATTTATTCAAGGGTACCTCCTACTTTCTCTTCTAAAAGGTTCAGTGTGGCTGAATTTATGTTGAGGTTTTTGATCCATTTGGATTGAAGTTTTGTGCATGGCGATAGATGTGGATCTACCTATAGTCTTCTACACGCCAGCCTCCAGTTTTGCCAGCTCCATTTGTTGAAGATGCTTTCTTTTTTCCATTGTATAACTTTAGCTTCTTTGTCAAAAATCAGGTGTTCCTAGGTGTGTGGGTTAATATCAGGGTTTCCAATTCAATTCCATTAGTCTACCTGGTTTTTTTTTTTTGTGCCAATACCAAGCTGTTTTTAGGACTATGGCTCTATAATAGAGCTTGAAGTCAGGGATAGTGATGCCTTTGGAAGTTCCTTTATTGTACAGGATTATTGTGGCTATCCTGGGTCATTTGTTTTTCCACATAAAGTTGAGTATTGTTCTTTCAAGATCTGTGAATAACTGTGCTGGGATTTTGATGGGGATTGCATTGAATCTGTAGATTGCTTTTTGACAAGATTGTCATTTTTACTATGTTGATCCTACCTATCCAAGAGCATGGGATATCTTTCCATTTTCTGGTATCTTCTTTAATTTCTTTCTTTAAGGACTCAAAGTTCTTGCTATACAGGTCTTTCACTTGTTTGGTTAGCGTTAGTCCAAGATATTTTATGCTCTTTATGGCTATTGTAAAGGGTGATGTTTCTCTGATTGCTTTCTCAGTCCATCATCTGTATATAGCAGGGATACTGATTTTTTTTTGGTTAATTTTGTATCCTGCCACTTTGCTGAAGGTATTTATCAGCTGTAGGAGTTCTCTGGTAGAGTTCTTTGGGTCACTTATGTAAACTATCATATCATTTGCAAATAGTGGAAGTTTGACTTCTTTCTTTCCAATTTGTATCCCTTTGATTTTCTTTTGTTGTCTTATTGCTCTAGCAATATTGAAGAGATATGAAGGAATTGCATTGAGTTTCTCTCCGTTTAGTGTGATGTTGACTGTTGGTTTGCTGTATATTGCTTTTATCATGTTTAAATATGATTCTGTTATTCCTGATCTCTCCAAGACTTTTTTCATGAAGGATTTTGTCAAAGGCTTTTTCAGCATCTAGTGAGATGATTGTGTGTTTTTTCTTTTTCAGTTTGTTTATGTGGTGGATTACATTGATGGATTTTCATATGTTGAACCATCCCTGCATCCTTGAGATAAAGACTACTTGATCATGGTGAATGATTTTTCTGATGTGTTCCTGGATTCAATTTGCCAGTATTTTGTTGAGTATTTTTACATCAATGTTTATGAGGGATATTGGTCTGTATGGAGTTCTCTTAGTTGTGTCTTTGTGGGGCTTGGGTACGAAGGTAATTTTAGCCTCATAAAAAGAGTTTGGCAATGCTTCTTCTGCTTCTATTGTGTGGAACAGTTTGAGGGGTAATGGTATTAGCTCTTCTTTGAATTTCTGGCAGAATTCTGCACTGAAATCATCTGACCCTGGGCTTTTTTTGCTTAGGAGACTTTTGATGACTGCTTCTATTTCATTAGGGGTTACTGTTGTTAAAATGTCTAGGTTTATCAAGTATGAGACACAAACCGTGACTCAACGATCCCACGTGGAGTTTTATTGGTGGACAGGGAAGGAAAGGGGAGTGAGGGGTAACCAACCTATGCAGAGCTGAGAGAGAGAGAAGGGCGAGAGTAAGAGAGAGTGAGATGATGAGAGTAAGAGAGAGTAAAAGAAGAACATAAGTGGGCAGGGGTCAGTCCTTTAAAGGGGTGGTTCTCACAGAACTCTGGGCTGGCCAGAGTGCTGCCTGAGTGTATCCTGACAGTAACAGGGCAGGTAAGCATAATGCTTGAACCTTTCAGTTTCATGTCTGTTTAAATTGTTTGTCTGTTCTTGATTTAATTTGGTAAGTAATATCTATCCAAAAAATTGTCCATTTCCTTTAGATTTTTTTAATTTTGTGGAGTACAGGTTTTCAAAGTATGACCTGATGATTCTCTGATTTCCTCAGTGTCCGTCGTTGTGTCCTCCCTTTTCACTTCTGATTGTGTTAATTAGCATGCTCTCTCTCTAACTTTTGGTTAGTTTGGATAAAGTTTTGTCTATCTTGTTGATTTTCTCAAAGAACCAACTCTTTGTTTCATTGATTCTTTGTAATGTTTTCCTGGTTCCTACTTTATTGATTTCAGCCCTCAATTTGATTATTTCCTGGCATATACTCCTCCTGGGTGAGTTTGCTTCTTTTTGTTCTAGAGCTTTCAGTTGTGCTGTTAATTCTCTAGTGTGACTATTCTCCAGTTTCTTCATGTGGGCACTTAGTGCTTTGAACTTTCCTCTTAGCACTACTTTCAAAGTGTCCCAGAAGAATATTTGTTCAGTTTATTTCCCATTTATTTATTGGATTATCTATTCTTTTGCTCTTTTTTCTTTGTGTTTTTTAGCTCTTTATATATTCTAGTAATTAATCCCCAGGAGGATGAATAGCTCACAAAGACTTCATCTTATTGTATAGGTGTCTCCACAGAACTTTTAGTAAGACACAGGTCCATTTGTTCTTCAGCTCCTAGAGTCCTTATGGAAACCTTTGCCTGCGCCAACACATATCTTGAAGCCTCCTACTCCCCTTTCCCTGCCGTCCATCACCATATTTCCTACTTGAAGTTTCAAAGTTTTGGAGTTTACATATGATCTAGGAGCTCCATTTGAAGAAATGCTGCCTGCCTTGTGTTCTTGGTGCCAAATAGTTTGCAGAAAATGCAGATAGTATGGATCTGGAAGAGACTACCTATAAGTATTTTAGGACACTATATCAACTTATTTTAGTCAATTTACCGTCTTTGGTAGTCAAGAGTAACAAGTGATGTCTTATTCTACATCCAAATATCTGTTTTCTTCTGAGTCACACTTAATTGACAGCGTTTCTCCCTTAGAGTCATATAAAACAATGGTGTCTGTGATATAAAGAGTGATGCCCACAGAGCAACCAACTGCCCCATCCAGGTCTGTGCTCTGTAAGTACCTTGTTCTTCATGAGCAGTTCTGACTGGAGGCGTATGGGTAGAAAATGATTTGTGTCATTTCTAGCACAGGAAAACCAGCTCTTAGTTTCCTGATGATTTTCCTCACACAGCAGCAAACGATAAAGCCTTTTTTCAGAAAAGTCAGCACGTGGCTCCCATGTGACTGAGTGAAGAAGCTAAGGCTCCAACTGACCTGCACTGTTGCCTGAACTAAACTTCGGTTAAACAGTTCCCTGGAATTTGAGGACTGCTTTGACCACATCCCAGTCTAGCATGGTAAGAACTGTAGTTGGAATGTAAAATGAAATTTAAAAGAATAAATAAATTATAAAAAAGTATTGTATGTAAACAAAAAAAAAGGTCTTGTGCCCTCAGTTTCTTTGAAACATGGAATTGTCCTTGGAACGTGTTTTTATGCTCCTCCCAGCTTTAGTAGATAGGAGTGAGTTTACTGCAGATTAGTCATTATTGCTTACTGGTGTTATACAATTTAATGTTTAAACTATCCTTTATATGCTTCTGTGAAAACATGGTTTCTGCGTGTGTGGCCTGTTCTTGTATACAGCTTGAACTCAGAAGAACTTTACTCAGCGACTTTCTTAACCCTCAGCGTATCCTATAAACTGTCTGAGGTTCTGAATGATGTTCCCTATCGCAGGAGACTTTAGGCTGCCTCATCTATTGCTCCATTCTCCCAGGTCCCACCACCTCAAGCACAGTGACAGACTTACAAACCATAAGGTAAAATAAACTCTTTCCTCTTCAACTTGCTTTTGGACATATCATAGCAATAGACACCCAAACTAAAACACCAGTTCTCATGAGATAGAGAGGCCCTTGGTTTATACCATTTGACTGTTTTGTGGTATAATACACATACCACAACTACTTTCAGGTCACCAATGGGCTGTTACCAACCTAACAGCTGTTTCTCACAAGTCAGCTACAACCTGGCCCGACACAACACCAGACACACAGTACAAATGTCTTTCTAGTTTCTACTGTTCTTTAATGCTCAGCTTGATTAGGACATAAATCTCTCAAGGTGTCCCTTTTGTCCATGTCTTTATGGGAGCTCTGGGCACTTCTGTACTTAAAAGTCAACAGAACATCTGTAACAGAGAAAGGAGATAGCAGAATGTCAGGATCATACTCACACATTTCAAACAGTGTGCACAGTCAATGTTTCCCTTGTCACTGACACTAAAAGTAACAAACAATAAATAGCACATGAAATAGCTATTAACAGCTGTATCAGTTCTGTGATGACCAGCAAGTTCTGTTTAGTTGTTTCAAATAGTAAGGCAGTTTGTTATTTAGACACACTTTCTAATTACCACTTAAGAAAGTTAGTGTTTTATGGCTCATGTGTAACACATTATACTATCTTCTACTTTAAATAATGACAGAATTTCAGTAGTCAGCTTTTTTTTTGCATACAGAACCTTTTATTTTTAGTACTGCTGATACCGAGAAAAATAAAACTAGATCATTGACCTCATAGTTGAGGTCATATAACTTTAACAGCATCTATTTTGCCTAGCTGGGGAAGTTTTTAATAATTCTTTGTGTTTAGTTTGGTTCAGATGGGCAATACTGTTGGAAAAGGAGATTGTGGATAACTTAGCACAGTTTAAAATACAAGGAACCATGTTGGTTACTATCTGTTGTGAAATGAGAAATGGTGGGATCCAGAGGATGGTTAATGACCATAGTCACTCTGCACCCTCTAAAACCTTTCTTTTGGACCAAGACTTCATTGTGAACTGATGAATCTGATCAGTTAGAATGAGACTCAGTCCGTTCTTGGGCCTCTTCTCCAAGGAGGCTTGGCCCTGTGTGTTATGTCTTGGATGTGGAGGGATCTTAAGGCCATTGAGGCAGGCCCTCCTACGCGGTAATCTGTCCCTCCATCACAGAATCGCACATTTCTTCCTCAGTAGCTTGGGAATGTGGAGAGTTCCTAAAGTCTCCACTATGCAGACCTTAGAGGAGGTAAAAATTACCCGTGGAGGTAAAGTCCTAAGCGAAGCTGTTACCGCTCCCTTTGAGGAAAACACACATTATAGAATGTGTAAGACAGTGGCTAACAGGAGACAGGCTTGGGCAAGCAAGTGTCCTACCCACTGAGTTGTCTCATCAGTTCATGGCATGTTAGTTGTTTTTGAAAGACTTCAAGCTTATTTAAAATAAAAAAGACAAAACAACAACACAAATATACTAATGGTTTATAAGGACATTAAAACAAAATGAATCGCTGGTGGGACAAATTTAAATAACACAATTCAAATAAGATCTGTAACTGTATGTACTCTTGGTTTTAAAGTCACAGCACAGATTTACATGCAAACACCAGTATCAGAGACTGCAAAGTGGTTCCTATGTAACCTTACCAGGAATGCCTTCCTTTGTCCTAGAAAATGAGGTGCTTTAAGAAGTTTAAGTAAGCTACTGCTCTCAATGTTGAAACACAAACACACTCCAAGCAAATCTCCCTGCTTCTGGGGGGGAGTGTATTGTTGTTTTCTTTCACTTCCTACCCTTGGTCAAAATTTTAATTCTTCTCAAAGGCTGAAATCCCCTAAATCCCTTTCTATGACCTTCAATACTTGAACTTCTAATTCTGGACTTAAAACTCCATTCACAAATGAACTGCGGGATTCATTCACCGTTTTTCCCCTGGCTTCAAACTTCTCTTTCCCTAAATTAGACCACACAACACCAACATTGCCTCTGTCACCTTCACGTCAGACCAGCTCCTAGACTGAGTGCTTCACAGCCAAGCCAGAACAAAAGCTGGTTGTACCCAGAAGATACAGCTTCCTCAATGTCTGTTTCCACGGTGGCTTTCTCGGCAGAGGATACTATGCAGCTTTGGGCCTGGTGGATTGTCTGGAGGGTGACGTAGTAGGCTCCAAGATTCATACATCTCAGCCTGGAGCAGCTTGGCCTGTGTTTTCAGAGTGGGACATAGATGGTGGAGGGGGGGAGGGTTAGCTTTTAATTCTGTGACAAATAACTGATAAAAGCCTTAAAGAAAGAAATGTTTATATTGGGTCACAGCCACCCTGTGTCAACAGACCCCACTAAGGGCTCCTCCTCTGGTGACCAGGAAGCAGAATCTGAGGCCTGGCATACAAAGCACCTCTGATTAGGCCCTGCCTGCTGTCTCTACCACTTCCACTTCCGGTGGGTGCCAGAAGATTGTAATTTGGTCAAAGGATTGACCTGTTGATAAACTCAGCCCTCAAAAGACTTCAACTGCTGATGATCAAGCCTACAGCACTCCAGCCTTGGAGGACCTGTCAGATTCAGACCATGCTCTATTTAATGTATGTAATAAAATGACACATACCACCTTCTATGCCAATCTTTTCTAGGTTGAAATACCTATGATTAGTTGAAGCTCCCTCTCAAACCTAGTTAAAAATTGCTATGGCCTGGTCTTTGCAACAGTGCTTCACTGCAGTTACTAATCTTTCTCTTGGCTGCTTGAAGTGGTCTTTCTTGGTACTTAGAAAATGTGAGGGACAAGCACAAAGAGGGATCCAGAGGTCACCCCAAGAAATAGCTGAACACCCAGACTGAAAAGTATTTCTAACTCACAGTTCTTTCCCCCAAAGCTGTCTGCCAATAAATACTGTTCTGTGACCAACAACACCAGAACACATAAGCAAAAACATCAGGAGCTGGGAAAGAGCCTGGATCAAGGGTGAAAATCCACCCCTCCCTTCATGGTAAAAATCTGACCGGCATCCTGGGGTTGGGTTAGAGGCCAGAAGCCACTGCAAGGAGCTGCTCTGTTCCCACACAGGAGATCTGACTCCCTGGCAGCTGGCAACTTTCCTTGGTGCAATGGGTGTTCCTGGCACTCCATGAAAGCCCTCCTCCTCCCCCTCCTTTCTGGGCTCCTTTTCTCTCCTCACCCCCACACTCCACACCCTACCGCACACACCCTCCCACTCCTGCATCAATAAACCCCTCCCTTACACATTCGGCACACACATGCCCCCCAACTTCCTCTCCAAACACACCCACGTACCGAACTCTCCCACACACACCCAGGCGGCACAGGGCAGTCTGCGGTGCATCCTCTCCACAGGCCACAGAGACCTGAATGCTGGATGTACCACACAGCACTTCCTCTTCCGCTTGTTATCATTATTTTTCCTTCACTCCATCCCAGCCCCTCCTTCCCACTCTGCTCCTTCAGCCTGGGGAAGCTGGCTTTCAATCTTGTTCTGCACATTTGTAATCTGTCACCAGCGGGAAAGTTGTCTGCCCTGCATGTGCTTGCCTGCTGTTCGGCAGGAAGGCTGAAGGGGGGAGGGAAGTCACTGGCAGGCTAGTCTATTTCTGGAAACCACAAAAACTCGTTTTCCCTCCTTAAATTACTAAAGGAACCATTCATCCCAGCTCTGGAATAGTCACCAGCTTTCCTCTCTCTCTGTAACCATGGCCAGGTCCCATCCATTCTTTAGAATCATATGAGTGTGTCCCGCTGTGGCACCTGTCACATCCAATCTACCATGACCAACAGACTCTAAAGACTACATAGACAGCAAGGAAAGAGGGGGGAAGACTGTTTATGAGTAACAGAACCTCATATATTTTCAATGTACCCCAACTTCCTGGACTCTCACCCTTAATTTGTAAAACACAGGTCCTGTCAGCTGACCACAGCACCTGACAACTTTGCTAGGACTGACCTCAATGATCTTGGGCTAATCATTTTCCATAGTCACCTAGGTTTCTTGTTATTTTTCAGTGGGTTTGGTAATAGTTTAGCCTAGTAAGCATTAATGCAAGCCCTTTATTTCTGATGTCTTTCATCAAGACTGCCTGTGTGCGTGCATGTGTGCATGAGTGTGTGTGTGTGTGTGTGTGTGGTGTGTGGTGTGTGTGTGTGCCTCTGTGTGTGTGTGTGTGTGTGTGTGTGTGTGCCTCTGTGTGTGTGTATACCAATGCAGGCAAGTATGAGAAGTCAGAGGGCAACTTGGGGCAGTTGGCTTTGTTCTTTCACCACATGTGACCCACAGAGTTAGGTAGTCAGGCCTGGCTGCAAGTAGCTCTACCCGCTGAGCCCTTTTGCAGGCCTGACTGACTCTTTAGTTATGACTACTACTTACATGAAGTAAATATTGAATATTCTACACGTTGCAATGGACATTAAGGCAAGCAAGACAGATACTGGCTTTGCTCAATGAACATTTACCACCTTTAAAAAAATCAATGAGATAAGAAAGTGTGTACAAATGTAAATGAAGAGCCAGCAGCAACAATTTTGATCGTTCTATTTAACTGCTAAAAATTCAATGGGTCGGGAAGAGGGGGGCAGTGGGGGGAGCGGTAGGAGAGGAGGGAGGGGGAAATGGGTGGAATGTAAAAAATAAATTAAAAAAAAGAAAAAGAATTCAGTGGGTCCCTGCTTTCCAAAGAATAAAGTCATAACACATACATTGAGCATCTAAAAAACGTAGCATTCTGGGTCTGACATACTTTTCAACTCTCTGTTCTATTTATCCCACCAACATTATCATCTACCCACTCACTGGGATCATTGATTTCCAGGCACAGTTTGAGAGTCTTGAGTTGGGTGGAGGGGGTCCTGTCGTTTCTGCATTGTATTCCTCCTAGTTTGCAGCCCATCGCTTCATTGTGATCTGACTGTACAAGCATTTGCTGAAGGGAGACTTCATGAGAACAAGGCAGGTGTGATTAGGGCACAGTCAGAATTTGCAAGGCTCATGAATAAATAAAGATACATCCTTTCACCTACAGAGTGCCTGCTTTATTCCTGGACAAAGCCATTGCCCTTTGAGCATTCTTATTCACAAACTGTTTTTCGGTTGCCATAACTGCCCAACCATGTTAATATGTTTCATGGCCTTAGGATGTGCACATTCAGCCTCACATGTCCAGGCTTCACATAGCCTCAGACTGGGTTTAACCAGAGGCTAACAGGATGCTAGTACATACAGGCAGCCTGTTGGCACTGCACAAGCAGAGACTAGAAACAGAGCCTACCCCCAGCACTTACTCCAGGGCACAAAGGGGACCCATCTCACTAACCCTCTTTCTCTCCCCCCCTCATTTTGTTTCTTCTTCTTTTTTAATGAGAATAATGTGTTTTCCCTGAAGGATTCCCTTCCATCAGGGAGCCTTAAGAGCTGGAGCTGGGCCTAACCATCACTGTCTCCAGCCCCATGGTTCAGAGTCTGTGAATCTCAGTCACAGATGCAACCTGATTCAACAAGTTGCCAAAGATTTTCCATGGCAATGAACACTGTAGAAAGTTGCTCAAGCTAGGTGTGGTGCATACCGATAATCCTAGCGACTGGGAGGGAGTGGTGGAGGTTCACTTGACTCAATGTTCAAGACCAGCCTGGGCAGCACAACCAGATGCTGTTTCAGAAAAAAGGAAGTGTAAGCCAACAAAGTAAAAATGACAACCAATTGTAAGCTGGAAACTCTTCATGAGAGGTGTGAATATGTAACTGAAATTTGCAAATGACATTTAATAATCTCTTTAATTATGAGCTTTAATTCCTATCTTTCCCCAAAACATCATTCTTTTGGAAAAAGACATGATTATATAAGCTATCAACTGTAGTTTTCCCACTTTAGCTAACCGTTAGAAGCCCTAGCAAACCAGGAATGGTTCATTAAGAACAACGGGAGAGAATATTTTGAAAACCCTACAGTCTGACTAACCATTTTTTTAAATCATACTTTAAAATTTGGAGTAATATGTCACAAGGAAAGTATAGGGTTGGTCAACAGAACAAAGTCAATTACAACACACGTTTCAGACTTTGAAGTAAAATAACTAAGTGGGCTGCCCGGGAGGGAGGAGGAGCCATGGTTGGTGACAGTAAACTGACAGTCCAGGGAGTTCAGGAACAGAATGAAGCCCACGGAGAGGAGGTGGTGGGAGACAGCCAAGGGGAGTGGGCTTTGCTTCTGAGAAGTGAAGCTGGTGCAAAGTTTATTTCAAGAGTCTCATGCTCTACCAACTGAGCTAGCCGGACGCTCTGGGGCAAAGTTTATTTTATGATCAATTTATGACTCCACAGATGTCCCTAAGGCCAGTGAGTTGCATGCTTTAAATGGGTAACTATGTGGTCCCTGGACTGTCTAAAGTCGGAAGAGAGAAGAGTGAATGACGATGTTAGACTTCAAGAATGTCCAGTTTCCTGTGTCTAACTTGTGCCAATATGACTCACCCCACTTCACTTTTGAAACCTTTGTTTTTCTTTCATATCATGTGAGTTTCAACTCTTCTCTGGCATCTTAGAGCCAAGAAAAATGGGAAAAGCCATTCAGTTCATGAGCGCCCTAAAGAACAAGCAAGGGCTTGAGCTGTAAACTGCGCTACCTTGGACTCCATCTATTTCCATTCATCTCACAAAGTTTTACTGTAAGAACCAATGAAGACTAAGACATCCACACAACAAGGATGATGGCAATCACATAAACTCCCAGGACAAGAAAAAGAAATAAAGACAGGGAGAAGCACGGGGTTTCAATGCCTGCGCTGCAAACCCACCTTTATAAAACAAAGGATTTCACAATACAGTTATCCCCAGCTATCCTTCAGGATATACCCTAAGATTTCCATAGAGGATTCCTGAAGCTGTGGACGGTACCAATCCTGTGTGTACTATGTTTTTCCATATACACGTATCTATGAGAAAGTTTACTCTATAATACGTTTAGTAGCATTATGTATTACTTTTGCATTTGCAGCTATTATTAAAACTAAGAGGAACTTTACCACAAGCAAGGAATACAGAGACAATCTTTTTAAAGTTGGTGCAGCTACCAAGTAACCAACAGGTTGGTCACATATACACGGTGGAAACAGCACATCAGGCTGCTGCATGCTCTGGGAAGGACAGACTGGAACGGAATGGGATTTCTTCACTATACTCAAACAACAGCACAACTTAAAAATCTATCAATTGATTATTCCTGCAGTTTTCCATTGATCGTTTTAGAATATAGACCATGAAATCCCAGATAAAAGGAAACTACTATATACAACACTATTATTATTATAACAATAATGTATACAAATGCCTAGCACAAAGATGCTTTTACGGAATGGTGGTTACTGTTGCACAGGATAAAGTTTGAGGCTGGACTATTTTACGGAATGGTGGTTACTGTTGCACAGGATAAAGTTTGAGGCTGGACTATTTTAAGGAATGGTGGTTACTGTTGCACAGGATAAAGTTTGAGGCTGGACTATTGCTTCAACATCACAGGTGTGTCCTTATTCTCAAGGAAGCCATCAGTAGTCAGGAATGACTAAGCTATATAGGAATGACAGAGGCTTCCGAAAGCTTACTTTGTGCTCAGTTTCAGATCTCTTACAGGTTAGTTGGGTCTCTGCTCTGTGTCAGTCTTACTCAGGGACTCAAGTGTAAAGAGCTGGTATGAGCTGGAACATTTTCAGTCATGTGACAATGCCTGAGAATGATATATTACCCCATTCTTCGTCTTATTAGCTAAAATCTGTCACAAGGCCTTGCCCATTTTCAAAGACGGATGTTTCCAACATGTACAAGATGGAACAACAGGATATTTATCAACAGCTTGAATGGTCACCACTCAATCTTATGAGGAAAATACTTGTAATCTCAATCTTAAAATAAAAAAATAGGAATCTGAAGTACAGAGAAATAAGTATTTGTCTACATCACAGCAATATAGGTACAAGTGACAGAAGACAGCATTAGACCCAAGTCCTGTTTTGTCCTGTGTTATTTCCAGTCAGACTCTGAAAGCTGAAAATATTCTACCTACAAGGATATGTGAAATTGCCTCCCACCCACATTTATAGAAAAATATGCACATTTCCTTTGGGGACCAGCCCATAACAGTCTTCTCAGAAACCAATTTAGAACCAAAACTGAGAGCATAAAATGTTCACACGCCCTTTGACCCAGTAATCCTGGTTCTGGGAATTCATCCTCAGAGGATCATCGCCCAAGATTAAAAATGAAGTGTACTCATGAAAAGTCCTGTGGCAGCAAAGAACTGCCAAGAGTCCACACGTCCAACAAGAAGAGTTAAACAATACAATTCATGTAACTTAAAGTGGTACTTTGTAATTATGAAGACTGTGTGATAATGATTTAAAACCCCTTGATGCAAAGACACAAAAGGAAGTTGTTTAGTAGGTCACACCTATTCCGTATGCTCATATAGCAGCCTGCAAGTGCAGCCCCTCTCTCCTTACGTAACAGCTCACACCTCCAGCTCTAGTGGGTCACAGAGACGGCCAGCCTCC